AAATAGAGGTCCACCGAGCGGTTTGATTAATTTCCATTCCTTAATCATGAGACCAGCAGTGGTGTTCTCTTAAATGAGATTTTCACGTTATTTGTACAAATGCGATACAACTGATCAACTGCATGCTTACCGTAGCCAAACATTCTACACTTAAATGCTCAGGTGCAACCATTCACTCTCTTACATCAGCCTCAGCCGGTTATTTTCTTGTATCGATGTAAGGTTATTGATAACTCTTACAATCTATTTGATAAACAGGGAAGATATTAACCATACCTTCCGCTGCTAAATGATCGTCATGCAGGATATTGCGTTAGCTGATGACATTCTCAAGGATGAGCATGAAACAGTGGAACGGAGATTGACTGAGACTGAACAGTTAGCATAAGATATATGCTTAGATGAGAGGTGAACGTTAGTAAACGGATTAAAGAGACCGCGTTGTGCTAACCAGTATTTTTAAGTATTAATAAGAGATTTTTTATTTCAGTTCTATTAGTCGACTGATATTTGCAACAACATGCCAGCCTCCTATTTACGTTGATGAAAATAAATATATCCTTCTCTATGACGACTTCTACTTCGTCGCGTCGCGATACTGAGAAATATGAAAATTTTCATCAACAGAAAATACTACCAAATCTGCGCCAAGTTATATATTTAGCATTCCATGAAACCATAAACTATTGTGTTCGTATTTTGATCACGTAAGCCGATTGAACCTGAATCCCGATTGTCAGATTATTAACATTATTCAGTTATTTAATTATTAATTAAGTTACCTATATAACAAATAACTATTCAAAAAATTTCAACGTTTTAACCGCTACGCAATATATCGATCACACTGTTACGAAATGTAGCCAGAAACTGAAGAACACCAACCACGAATGATCAGTCTGTGTGATTTTGCTCGAATCTTGCAAAATGTTTGCTTCATTTGTCCGTCGGAAAATGGTCTTAAAGAAGTTTCTCGATTTTAACTTTCAAGCAGACGGGCCATCGAGTGGTCAACGAGTGGTCAAGGGACAATAAACTCTCTTGCTTCCGGAGGCTGTGGCTGTGAACAGAACAGCGCGATTTGCTTGGCGTCCCAATGCTTAGCAAAGTCGTTGTTCATGGAAGATTTTGGGGAAGGCAATAGCTACATTGTATTGTCTCAAAACCGACGCCATCGTTGAAATTTTGTCAGATGGAATTCTTCTACAGATTTAGAAACTGGTCTGTTCAAATGCAACGTTTCTGCGTAATCTCTAAACGCAAAGCCAAATTAATCTTAGAGTTATGGCGCCCTGGCTTCGTAAGGCCTTACTGACGGCGTCTTTGGCTTAACCGAGTTCTGTCATCGCTGAGTCAAAACAGACTACGCTTAAGTCAGCAGAATCAGCTCGAAAACCAGCACTCAAACTAACATATCGGCAAGCGCAGAACATGTTAAGCAACAACCTCTGGTTTCAACTGATAGTCTGTTAATGTTCGATCCTCAATGAGGCAGACATTGATCAACGTTACGTGGAAAAAACGCAAGCACGGCAGAGACACCTCCTAGTTTGGAATCGACTGTGCCATCTGCGATGCCGCAGCTGCTTGTTTGTTGGAATGGAAGTACATATTCCGGCCGGTGTCACGAACAGCAGAAACGTTACACTCCAACACTTGTGTACCATGTGATAATATTAAACACGCTGTGAACATCACACCGCGATTAATTAATGTTCGTAACGCTGAGCAATGTTGTTCTCAGGGTAGATTTTGCCGAAGACATAGCAAAATTGTATATTCTCAATACCGATGCCGTCATGCAAATATAGTCAGAAGGAATACTTCATAAGATTTTCAAACACGTCTGTTCAATGGCATAATTTCTGTATAGTCCTTTAACGGTAAGGCATATGAAACTTAAAGTAACATTGCCTTGTTTGTGCAGCTTTACTGCCAGTTTAGTTTTGTTAAAAGGAGTGTGGTCATCGTTCGGTCAAGTGCTTAAGTAAAGGGAAGTAGTGGAAGAGAGTGGAAAGGGAAGGGAAGTAGTGGAAATCAGCACTGAAACTAACATATCAACAACCAGAGATCATGTTTATCAACGGCTTGTGATTCCAACCAGAAATCTGTTGATATTCAATGCTCGATGCTGCAGATGCAGATCAACGTCACGTGGAAAACATAGGAACACGGCAAAGACAGATTCTAGTTCGGAATGAACTGTACGATTTCCGACACTGCAGTGTCTTTGTCATTAGTTCTGAAGTTAATATTCCCGTCGGAGTCACGGACGGTAGAGAGTTTACTCCCAAGTGATTATACAAAACAATTACAAATATTAGATCAGATAGAGTAAAGTATTTTGCTTATGTGCTTTTTAACACAGAGCGCGATGAAACTTTTCCTATCGTTAATTTGTTAACATATGGCGATTATTTCGTGAAGGAAGATATGAAACTCATAAATACAATGTTTACCTACGTTTCAAGAAAGTCTGACTTTTACGAACTCTGTGTATTAAATTCGAATAGTTTTCTGAGCTCTAACACGTCGTTTGTATACACTGAAATTTGAAAATTAACACTCATTTTGTAGACTTCCCAAGACATTTACTCCTGGTGCTTTTCATCATCCGAGCACCCTTCAAGTACTTCAATCAGGATTAGGTGCACGAATGAATGTATTTTATTTTAAGTCATCTTTTAAAGTGGTCGTAATAGCTCTCACGGTAATGAATGTTCTTCAGATAGAATTTCCAGATGATCTTGGTAGTGTATTTTAAAATAAGAGAAATATGGAGGAACTAAGTCAGAGATTCAATGACGGGAAACGACAAATTGTAGCTCTAATGCAGAAGATAGGACTGTCATCATGAATAAACGTAAGATCTAAATGAACGTCGAAGAATATGGGAAACTGTACAAGAAGAAAGCAGCGGCATGACAAGTGGCGATATTAATCTAATAGCACAAACGAAGTCGACGAAATTGCAGATGTCATGAAAGACCTGCGATATGTAGCAATCGCTCAGCAATTTGCGAATTTGGTGTCATTACAAACGAGGTGCAGGCTGACCAGAATATATTCGCGGTTGTTTTCACGCTGTCAGGAGAAACTGAAACTTTCCCACGATTGGACTACCCCATCTGTTATTTTACTTCACACAAAAACCAGAGACGACATGACGATCTACGGACAAATCGGTCTGATCATCAATCAATCATTCACTTCCTCTTTGCGAAGGTATTGACGAACAGAACTGAATAAAGTATATACTCGTCAGAGAATACGGTTAATAGAGGAAACTATCCTGTATTCCAAAGGATTTGGTACGAGGCATCGTTTCCGAGTTGGAACACAGTGACAAATATGCGCTTCCGGTCTGCCGGATGTACCCTCACTTTGAGAACACTTTCCAGTCATTCTACACCCGTCCTGGATTCATTTCTAAAAGAGCCACGGATTCGCGAGCGATGCAAAAACCTCATCGCCATCCTCTGCAAGAATGTGATTGCCAGTGTGAAACTTCTCAGCTGCAACGGATCAGCGAATATACGTCGTTTCCAGCGCATGTCGTCGTCGTCGTCGTCGAAACCAAACACACCTGTTTGAACAAGATGTTGGCTGGTTTCGAGCTGTCGTCTGGGAGCGAGTTTTGGCGCACCATCGCCCTGGGTTTACCTCGTCTGTAGTGATCTGCGAGGTATCTGTAGACCTGCGTATCAACTCGTCGTTTCAATCGATCGCACACAGCTCTGCGAGTCCTACTCTGATTCTACAGTAATCTTTTCGTCAACAATCAGTTCGTAAGTTAAGCTGACAGGCTTCAGCAAATGTGGCTGTTAGCGCAACAGGGAAAGGTGAAACGAAGAGAGTTGATCCCTCTACAGATGAGGTTAAACGATGGCGATGGCGAGGCGTCGAAACTCGTATGCAAGACGACGGCGCCAGACCAGCCAACGTCTCGTTTAAATAGGTGTTTTTGCTTTCGACGACCACCTGCGCTGGTGACGACATATATTCGTTGATCCGATTCAGATTCTCCATAGCGACAGAACCTTTCAGGTCGTCGAAGGCTCTGCGGTGGCATCCTTGGTAAAACCGCAACTCGTCCATCGGTACTTCTTCTAGCTGGACACGACGGCGGACAAAGTTCGGCTCAATATCGAACCCAGCTTTCGATTGCTGGTTCAGATGCACAGTGCGAACAGCACTGCGGTGAAAGGTCACGGTTGAAGCCATGTATTAGTCGGCATCGAATCTTAAGTGCAACTCTAATTTGAGGATCGTATGAAAGCGCCCAAACGTGATCAGCAAGTATCCTACTGTTTTGCATCCGCCGCTTGTGTCCACGACTTTTGCGACCTCACTGGTAAGTTAATTACATTTTACAAAACAACGGTAGACCGGAAAGATTTGGTGTTGGTGGTTAGCGCTCGAACTTCCACGTCATATCCCCCTCTCCATTCAGAAACATTCAAATTGATTAACCGAGCTTAAGAAAATCAGCTATTGGCCTCACAGAGCGGTGAATTTTCGTAAGCTAATATACTGATTAGGAAATCTATTGCACTTCTAAGGATGCCAAATACCTTATCGTTGTGAGTAAAGTTTTCAGAAATCACATCGTTATATGCTGTTGTGCACCGAGAAATTATGCCCATTATGCTTCTCCATAAATAGCGAACAACTGAAAATATTCTTCGCCATTTTCATAGGCAAAGTCTCACCTTACCTTATCGTAGAACGTGCCTAGTCGATGCAGGAACAGATGTTATTAAATGCTTCGACTTCGAAGACAATATCTTATTTAAGTGATTCATTCTTCTTCCGAGTTCTTTTACCGATTTTGAGAGGATTGAACGATCATCACCAAGCCACATGCGCTCTGACTAGTGCATGATTTCATCCAGCGCCGGATTCTCCCGACGAGTGTTTCGGAAAGCTAGTCTGAGGCGTTTGTGAATATCTTCTGCGAAATATCATTTATCTGTCGAACCCTTGTTTTGATTATCAGCTTTGAGCATGCATCTGCTTCCATGAAGCTTAAACCGTCACCATCCTTCTAGTACAGCATGCAAACGAGGTTTCCCTCCCTTTGCCCTGGTCTACGCAAATGCTGCATTTTGTATCCTCACTTTTTTTGTGCACAGAATAGTCAGGCGCGGTAAGGACAGTGAGAGCATCAGGGTAGAAGATGTTAATAAGAAAAGGTTGCTGTTTGAAGAAAACGGTGTTTAATGGTCATCTTCCAAGACTGATCCAGAGAGCTCCCTGCAAAGGTCCGCAGCCGACTGCGACGCGACTCGCATGCATGTGAACGCGTCCAAAACGAAAAGCATCTAAATGATTTGTTTTCAATTATCTACCACCTTCAAGAAGGTACTCAAAAGCAAAATTCTACGAAAGGTTAACACCGCACAACAGCTGGATCAAGCATCATTCAGAAGTTGATTTAGACAGATGGGTCATTTCCAAGCCCTACAGCAAGAAATCGATTCTAGAGAGGAACATGCGCCTCCTTTCTGGCGTAAATTTGACTCCTTGAGTGCTTTCAACCAATTTTCCATCCATTCTCTACTTTCCCTGTTTTATCGGCGATTTAATGGAAAAATGATATAGAGACGTTATCATTATCACCTACAAGAAGAAAGGCCAGAATCTAGCTTCACCGAGTCAATAGCAAGCTTAATGTAGAAAAATTGGAAAGGGCGTTCTATAAGTCAATGTAGTATCACGCGGGTTATTCACAGGAATAGTAGGAAGCGTGTTCAAGATATTTCGGTTCTGAAAATGAAGGCATAAGCATAATCGATTACGCCATCTGCTGTTTCCGCACGATATTCCGATGCTCTCAACGTCGTATCAGAATTGCAAAGAAAATTCCATAATTTAAATTAGGTGATGAATTAAGTTTGAAGAACTCTTGTGAAGAAGATTTCACAAGATCTCTTCTTGCATCGTGTCAGCATGCAGTTCGACAATGCTACTGCACACGTTGCCTAGTACTAGCTAAAGAAGTGTTTCGGTTATTGACTAGCTACAAAGAAATATGAAGGGAAAACTTTTATGCTGTTAAACAGTGTATGACGAAACAGCCCTGACAGCCACTACGCCTTGGGTGTTTATAGAAACGCAAAATATTCCCTACTCACTAAAACAGCTGAGTTTGCACAGGGTGATTTGCCAGGCTGGCAGCATATCTAAAACTGAAGCGCTTCCGCGTGTGTGTCGAGGATCAGGTCAACGAATGAGAATGCGAAATTGAACTCTCTAACATCACAAATTACAGTTTCGGTTATGATATATGATTTGATCGCTTGAGGATGCACACCTCGAATCGGTAGTTTGGTCGAGGAAAAAGCACAGAATGGATCTTGTTGGCCACGTTCAGAATTGTTTTGCAACAGATTATGAACTTATAGATGTGTCATTTCAGGTTAGCAGAAGTCGCTACGGTGACAGACCTTAAGATCGGCATGATGCTTGACATCCGGACGACTGCAGCAAGGTGCTGCGATATACCGTGGTTTTGTTTCATCGCTTCAATCAGTTCATTATTCAGCTTAGATGATGGCTCTACCGGAGATCAATACTGGTCGACTCGCTGCGGACAAACGCATGATTTTAACCGTAACTTTCCACCACAGCGACGCTCGCACATTTCTTTGCTCTATAAATGTTTGACGACGCCGAACGACGGTTCAACTTGCCGGTTGTCTAAACTTCATCCGCCGTCCAAACCAGCGGGGAACTGGCGCACATCCAATGACCACTGTCGGACTGGTTTTGCATTGCATATACCCTTTGGCATTTGAGCTTTCGGATAAACAGAATTTTACCTGCTATCCTCCTCAGAATGCTTGACAAAATACCGTACTGTGGAATGAGCAAGTTCGAAGTAAAATTGCTTGTGTGAGGAAATCCTGTCTCTATGCGAAAGAGACCACGAAAGATTTCTGTCTTCTAATAAACGATTGTTTTGGCGTTTTGCCAGAGACACGTAACTCGTTCCGTAAATGCGTATGTCGCACCGATATGAATGATAACATGGGCGCCATTACCTGACGAAAACAGCCAAACTGACAACGTGTGTGAGCGTTATCTGTTATCTGTTATCCACGGCATGTTACGTTTTGTACAATCTTATTACTTATGCATTAGGGATGTTGTCAGTGTGACAACTTAGCAGGAGCGAAGTAAACGTTTAAGCAGCTACTATTATTGCATGTTTTGCCTCGAACCACTGATCGAAAAAATTAGTTATAGTACATATAAGCTGTCCTATTATATAAAGCTGTACGGTACACGCTCAGCGAAACTGTAGGTACAGTATACTTTTTCTAAAATTCACCATGAAGACTGCGGGGCACGAAACAGAGTAGTCCATTGAATGAGTTTTAATACTGTTTACCAAAGTCACATTGTATTCATCCGTTTGACATCTACCCTCACGAAGTAATTGCCATATGTTGAAAGATCAATGATAAGAAAAGTTTCATCCGGCTCTGTGTTGAAAACCACATAACCACCATACTC